TTTTATTGGTTGAGACATGGTATGGTTTTTGTTTTGTTTTTTGGTTGGTTTGGGGCGGGGGTTCTCGTTTTTGCTGTTGGAGGGTTTTTTGGTATGAACAGCCAGAAGCAGAAGCCAAAGTAGCCCGATTACTACATTCAGTTTGTCCACGTAAGTGGCAAAAAGATGAATACCCTCAATAAAGACGTTCTATTAGTCACTACAAAAAGGCAAATACTATTTTAAAAACAGGCAAAGGATTTGAATAGATAATACAATTAAAACAAAACATGATGAAGATGAAAAAATTGACCTCAGCGGTGCTCAGAAACATGTAAAATTAAGAAGAAATGTTTTTTTCAAGAGTGCACCCCTTTTCCTCTCAAAAAAATTGCCCCCAAATTAGGAGGACAAGAAAAACAAACTTCATATTTAGGGAAACCAGGCGACATACATAAATCCAATGCATCATGTATAAAATCAGAAAGGGTCAAAGCAAAGCCAGGAGATACAGAGACATTCCATTCATGAGATAGCCAAAAGAACCTATGAATTTTTTAGGTATAAGCAATGGTGTGCTGGTAAATTTTGAACTAGTTCTCTAAGACAAACTGTGTATATGTGTGTTATGTATGTATCCATACATGTAATAAATTTTATTGATATAAAAGATGCATAGCATAATATATAAATAAGAATAAGCCAAACAATACTCTTTATTGAAAATTCCTCAGAGCCAGTTGTTGATTTTTGCCAATTTCTTTTACCTGTAGCCAACCTGTGGTTACAATTAAGGAATGAGTGTAGTTCGAACCTGAATGTTGATTGCTATTTTCATTTATGTTAACAAGATGAATGTAAAACAACAAAGATATATGTCAGAACTTCACTCATTTGCCAATGCTGTGAGTGACTATTTTGCTGAGTTGTATAATGCTTTCAAATACTGGAAAATATTTCCCGAATGTTTTATGCCATTCACCATGTAATAGTTACAGAAACAACACACTTTTAAATTTAATCTGTATTATAAGCATTTTCTCCATCACTCTCTTAAATCTAACAATCAAAAAAAGAATAAAGCTGAAATTTGTAGTTCTTGTCTATTTCCAGGATCTAAATAATCCCATTATGCCCACGTTCTAATCTACATAGTGAGGCCACTGAATGCAGAGTAGGGAAGAGATGCCAACAGTATTACCATCACATAGTCTTTCCACCATTTATAGCACTTCTCACAATCTTATATGTATCTTATTATATGTTTTTAGTTTTTATCTATCTCCCCAAATCCATAAGAGCAGAAATTTGTATCTGTTTTTTCTCTTTTGTATCCTAGTGCCTAGAACAGAACTTGACACATATAGTAAGCATTCAATAAACATTTGTTGAATAAAAAATAAAATGTTCAACTTACTATATGCCAGGTACTGTCCTAAATGTTTTACATGTGTTAAGTCTAAAGTCCTCACCGCAATCCTATGAGCTGGCACTATTATGATTTTCATTTTCCAGATGAAACGAGAAGTGACTTATCCAAGTCACCCAGCAGGTAAGTGGTGGAGCCAGGATTTAAACTCAGGCACTTTGGCTCCAGATCTTGGACTCTATCACAATGTGTTCTCTCAATATATCAGAGCCCTGATGCCGGCAAAAAGAAATCTCAGAATGTCAGATGTGTGGCAGACCTTAAAAGCAGCCAGGTCACATTAGAGCAAGTGGACAAGGGTGGTATACTGGAACCGATTCATTATCTGACAGGTTTGGTTTTGTAGAAAATGCTTAAAGACATTTTACAGCACTGTTGGAAATTGTGGGAAGTAAGAGTTCCAAAGAAAAATCTTTGCAAATGACAAAATAAGACAGTTATTAACTCCAGGAAAACAGTAAGTTGAATGAGAAAGGAAATGTAATCATAGTACACTGCTTCATTCAACAAAAAATAGTATTTACCAAGTCATAATAATGAAAACAATGAACATGGACTTAATTCAAAAAAAAAAAAAGTTATGCTTTTGCTACATTGGAAAAGGAAGGGGAATAGGGCAAAAATCTACATCTACCAAACAGAAAATCAATAATTTTTTCAAGCAGTAGCTATATGTATATGTGTGTGTGTGTGTGTGTGTGTGTATAAAGGTAAATGCAAAAGAAACATCTAAAACATTGGAAGTTTTTGGTATTTGATATTGATATTTTGATAAAAATGAAATTAAAACAAAAGGTAGAATTTTTTCCATAATAATGTGAAAAATTCAAAGCATAATAATGCCGATGTTGGCAAAAATATGTGAAAATCACTCTCATATACTAGCTGATGGAGTTGTCAGTTGATGTTTCTCTGGAAGACAATTTGATATTTTGTATCAAAAGTCTTAAAAAATGTTGTTTGACCCAGCATTTCCACTTAATGGAATTCATTCTAAGAAAAAACTTTAAATATGTGGAAAGACTAAGACATTTCTTATTACAGCTAAAAGGAAAGGAATTAATACAAATATCCAATATTAGAGCCTTAGTGGGTTTTTTTTTCATCATGGTAGAGCTGCCTAAGGAAAAATTGTCACGTTACTAAGTATTATAATTAGATTAACCCAGAATGATATTTATGATATTGAAACAAATAAAAATACTGGTAACAAAATAGCAAATGGTTCCATTTTACTCCCCTGCTGTAAAAGTATATGTTTGCACTAAAATGTTTCAAAATACATGTAATTCAGTAGCTATTGCTGGGTGATGGGGTTATGGCTGATTCATATTTATTTAGTTCTGTCTGTCTTTATATTATAATCTCTACTATATCTATGATTTATTTGTGAGGTTGTTTAATACATTTCAATGTTTAGAAATCATACCTGAGGGTGCCTGGGTGGCTCAGTTGGTTAAGCGACTGCCTTCAGCTCAGGTCATGATCCCGGAGTCCCAGGATCAAGTCCCACATCAGGCTCCTGGCTCAGCGGGGAGTCTGCTTCTCCTTCTGACCCTCTCCCCTCTCATGCTTTCTCTCTCTCTCTCAAAAAAATAAATAAAATCTTTAAAAAAAAAAAAGAAATCATACCTGAAACAAAATCTTCTCATTAAAGATTCAAGGAAGTCATTGAAAACAAGAAAAATGTGTTACCTATGAGAGCAGACACAAAAACTACACCTCTTTGGTCTAAAATAATGAGTCCAGGGCACCTGGGTGGCTCAGTTGGTTAAGCGACTGCCTTCGGCTCAGGTCATGATCCTGGAGTCCCTGGATTGAGTCCCACATCGGGCTCCCTGTTTGGCGGGGAGTCTGCTTCTCCCTCTGACCCTCCCCCTCTCATGTGCTCTCTCTCTCTCTCTCTCTCTCATTCTCACTCTCAAATAAATAAATACAATCTTTAAAAAAAAAAACATTGTTTAAAAAAAAATCTCTATAAAATAATGAGTCCAATGAAACATCATCTACCTTTTTAAAATCAAAATGAATGTGGGATTAAAGTTGATGTAGACTTCTTCACAAAATCCGGAATATTAAAACTGTGGTTTACAAAAGCTTACAAAATGTAAGAGAAATTCTTTTTCTTTTTTTAAATTTTTTATTATGCAATTTTTCGCCTGTATACTCTACACCTAGATTTAACAATAGTTAAGGTTGGGTGCCTGGGTGGCTCAGTCGCTAAGCGTCTGCCTTCGGCTCAGGTCGTGATCCAAGGGTCCTGGGATCGAGCCCCATATCGGGCTCCTTGCTCTGCGGGAAGCCTGCTTCTCCCTCTCCCCCTGCTTGTGTTCCCTCTCTCGCTGTCTCTCTCTGTCAAATAAATAAAATAAAATCTTTAAAAAAAAAAACAACCAATAGTTAAGGTTTTTCTTAACAAGGTAAGAGAAATTCCTTTTAATAGTGGGAATTAAAGAACTTATCTATCTCAGAAAAAGGAATGTTTATCAACATCACTAATCATCATGGAAATGCAAATCAAAAGCACAATGAGATATCACCTCACACATGTTAACAAAAAGACAAGAGATAGCAAATGCCAGGAAGTGGAGAAAATGGAACACTTGTATACATTGTTGGGAATGTAAACAGGCACAGCCACTGTGGAAAACAGTATAGACTTTTCTCAATAAATTAAAAGTAGAACTACCATACGATCCAGCAAACCTACTTCTGTGTATATATCAAAAAGCAACAAAGTAATTATTCAAAGAGATACCTCTACTCCGGTATGTATAGCAGTATTAATCACAACAACCAAGGAATGGATATGACCTACAACCTACGTGTCCATCAACAGATGGATAAAGAAAATGTAGTAGATATATAAAATGCAATATTATTCACCCTTAAGAAAAAAAGAAAATCATGTAATATTTGACAATATGGATGAATCTGGAGGGTATTATGCTAGTGAAATAAGCCGGAAAGCCAGACAAAGACAAAAAATGCATGGTTCAATGATATGTGTAATCTAAAAAACAAAACAAAAAAGTCAAACTCATAGAAACAGTAGAAAGATGGTTGTCAGGAGCTAAGGTGAGGAAAATAGGAAGAGGTTGATCAAAGGGTACAAACTTTCAGTTATAAGATGTATAAGGTCTGAGGATCTAAAGTAAAACATGGTGACTATAGTTAATGATATATTATATAACTGAAATTTGTTGAGAGACTAAAACTTAAGTGTCCTCATCCTCCCCCCCTCAAAAAGATAAATACATGAGATGGATGTGTTGATTAACTCAATGGAGGGAAAACCTTTCAAAAAAAAAAACAAACCCATATATAGAGAGAGAGAAAAATCATCATGTTATATAATTTAACTATTTTATAATTTTGTCAATTATACCTCAATAAATCTGAAAAAATAGAACATTTAAAATGCCATGTTCTATGATACTTAGAATATTAGACTCTTTAAAGCATTAATTTAACAGGATGCATTTCTTGCATTTTTATTTTTAAGATCTTCATTTCTGCATATTTGGAATAGCCAGCTCTTGTGTTTTGAAGGTTTATCTTAATTCACAGTATTTTTGGTTCTGCTTCTTAGGTACCAGCAAAGGCCAAACGTCTTACTCAACTACTTCCCTGCCACCACCTCCACCACCCCATCCAGCCAACCAACCGCCAGTCCCAAGTCTACCTCCCAGAAACATTAAACCTCCCTTAGATCTAAAGTAAGTAAAGATTATCTTGCCATTTCTTTGTCAATCTCTTGCCATAGATTTTCAGACTCTGCTTGGCTGAATGCTGGAGTTCCATGGGAAACTGCTGGGGCCACAAATGTCGGCAGATGGAAGGAGGAGGGATGGCTGAGCAGGCTGCTCTCCTACCCCCATATCCTTCAGCCAGTATTGTTTATCTGTCTTTACAGCAGCTTTTCCCTTAGAAGTTCATTTGAAAAAAAATTTCCACTGCCTTTTAAATATTTTGAAGCTTTCTTCAGGTTAGCATTACAATCATCTCTTCCGCCATGACTACCATTATCATAATCGTTACCATCACCACCATCCCCATCGTAATCATCACCACCATCCCCATCGTAATCATCACCACCATCCCCATTATCATAATCACCACCATCATCACCACCGTATTTTACTGACTACTTATGACACGCTAGGAACTTTACATATAAAAGTAGAAAGTGTTTTCATCATTTCACAGATGAAGAAATGGGAATTTACAGAGGCTAAGTAACTTCTCCAAGATTACACAAGAATGTAGAGTAGAAATTTGGGGCAATGTCAGTCTGAGTCCAAAGTAAATGTGTGCTTTTAACCACTCTGCTAAATAACCTCCTTAAGTAAAAAATACAGGTTTTCTCTCAATCTTCAGATTTTTGGCTGTGTGTTAAAAAAAAAACAGGAAACTTTTATTCAAGTCCGCTCTTGTTTTTCTTAGATGGTGCTTTTTAGAAATGTCAAAACTGGATGGGTGCTATGGATGGGATCTTTACCCATGATTTACCAGAATAGCTGGTTAAGGAAAAAGCAGGCACAAGGTTGGGATAGAATGAATGTCATTTTAAAAAGACATTGGATAATGGCAAGTATAGATCCTTATGGCAAGTTAGACTGTTGTCTTCCCTTTCTTCTAGAAAATTGCTTTACATGATTCTCCTTAACTACAAATAAGCAATATCCCAAAATATTTAGCCACATTTTTTTTCCTCCATTTCAATCCCCTACCAGACTGGTGTTCTTTACATTAAAAGTACTTCATATCCATAATCTATATAATAGAATCTATTAATATCAATATCTGATTGACAGCTTTCTTTTATTGATGATGATTACAGTTTAGAGCAGGGGTTGAAAACACATCTGTCATAGGTAGCCAACACTGTGTTTCACTTCATTGCATTTGTTTGAGGTATAAAGGCAGTAACTAGAAAGTATTAGAGCAGCTTAGGGGCAATTACCTTGTTTGTGGCCTGCATCGTGCATTTATGTTAACTGTGTGCCCTTCCAGGCATTTGATTTTATGAATTCTAATTAAAAGACTCTAATACCCCATGATATCTTGCTACCAAGTAAGAGTTTAAGCCATCTGCCTACTAACATGTAAGTGCTAAATAAATATTTGTTTAGTTAAAATAATTAACATGTGTTCTTATATACACCCAACTCCTAGAAGTTATTTTGCTTTCACATGTATTAAATTGTTTTTTTCTTAACCTTTTTTCCTAGTCTGACCAATTTAACTGACTAGATCATGATCTTAGTACTTTTGGATTTTACTATGTGACCCTATCCCAGCTACTGCCTTCAGTCTTGTATAATTCTAGTGAGAAATTTTAATAAATACCCTGAGCATGAATCCCTGAAAATTTATAAGACATGAAGACTGATAATTGTTTGATTGAAAACTGTGGAGAAAGGAATATTTGGCTCTATTTCTGCTTATGAGGCGTCCCCAAGACCACCATATGTTTGAGGATTCATTTAAAGGACTCACAGGATCCAGCATGTAGTGGTACTCACGGCTAAGATTTATCACAGTGACACTGTCCTTCAATGCCTAGGAGGGACACACTGAGAATGCTCCTTTCTCCAGCTTTGGAAATGTGCAATGCTGCTTCCCAGGGAAGCCCGGTAGAGATAAGTTTTTACTGAGAGTTTGTCACATAGGCATCTTCAGCCTAACCACTACCAAAATACCAGACCTCTAGAAGGAAAGGAGGTTTTCACCAAAATTTGCATGGTTTATACAGTCTAGGCACAGCAAGGCACTCTTACCAATTAGGCAACTTTTCATATCAGTGTAGGGAATTTTTTAGAAATGGAGTTCCCAAATGCAAGCCAAGGGCCAATCTTGGTGTCAGATTCTTCTAAAATTAGCACCTTAGGCCTACTATAGTAACCCTTTTCTGCAAGCCTACTCCCCAGAATCCATTATGATATGGTGGGAAATAAAAAGTTTTAGATGGAAGAAAGGATTTTAAGAACAGTCATATAGCCTGTACTACAAATTCATAAGGATGCTAGTCAAAGTCTCAGCTTTTCAGTGAATTCTTGCAAAGTTGAAAAGGGCCTTACAACCAACTAGGCCCACATTCTTACTTGTAACATCATTTTCATCAGAAAGTAGCAAAATCCACCAATTGTAATAAACTTTACCTCATCCCTATTTCCATCTTATTAGGAACTCCTAATTAGAAAATCAGATTCATCTAAGAGTTCCTGACTCCACAAAATTCATACTCTCAGAAGAAAGATGAAAAGAAACAGGAGTCTTTGGGGATGTTATATTGCCTAGACAAACAATAATTGGGGAATCTGAAAGTCAATTGTCTGATGGAGAGAATAGAGGGAATGAAAGCTAAGGGACATCTACAATTTTTTTTTAAGTAAAACTGTGGTGTATAGTGAAAGACTTTCAGGTTCCCATCAGAGAGCTCAAATAAATTCCAAAATCACGAAATAGCTCAATTAGAAACTTTCCCCCAGGTAGGGGAAGCCAGATAAGACACAAAGAAGAAACAAGAGCAAAATGACTCTTGATATTCAGGCTCAAAAATTTATATTTTATATGAGAGGGAAATTTATGGGGTAATCTTTAAGCAAAATTGTGAGATATGGGCGTTCCTGTGCTTTTCCTCATGCCACCACCCTTCAAAACACACGCATGGGTGTTTTCCGCATGCTCCCTCCGCCAGCCTGCAAATGCCATTCCTCCCCTCTCTGGTCAGATGCCACTCTCAGGTCAAGCTCTAACAGATTTTTTTTACATTCACTCAAGAATTGGGGTTTTTTGAGCCACTACTTTGTGCTGTTGTAATAGTAGTTCAGGAAATATCAGTGAACAAAATAAAAATCCCTGCCCGCATAAAACAGGGGGCAAGAGACCCAAAGAATAAAAATAATAAACAGGTAAAGGAAACAGTATGGTAGGAAATACCAAGTAGGAGAAAAGAGAGCAGAGTTAGGTAGTGTAATGGGAGGGTGGGGTTGGGGATAGCATGTCACAACTTTAAGAAAGGGGAGGGTAGGGGCACCTGGGTGGCGTCTGCCTTTGGCTCAGGTCATGATCCCAGGGTCCTAGGATCGAGCCCCACATTGGGCTCTCTGCTCTGCGGGAAGCCTGCTTCTCCCTCTCCCACTCCCCCTGCTTGTGTTCCCTCTCTCGCTGTCTCTCTCTCTGTCAAATAAATAAAATCTTAAAAAAAAAAAAGGGGGGGGGAGTGGCTGCCTTTATAGGCAGTTATATACTTGAGCAAAGACTCACGGAAGTGAGGGAGTTAGGCTTGCAGATGTCCTAAGCAAGACCATTCCGGGCAGAGAGAGCAGACAGAACAAATGCCTAGAATGTTCAAGGACTAGGAAGAGGGTAACTGGTGCTGGAGTAGAGTGAGCAAGGGAAGGAATAGCAGGAAAAGATTCAGCTCACATAGGGCCTTGCCAGTCATAGTCGAGATTGTGTCTCCTCGTGAAGTGGTAACCACTGAAAAAGGTTGAGCACGGCAGTGATGTTTTGACTTATGTTTTATCAAGATCACCTGAACAGCTATATGAAAAGAGACTATAGACAAATATTGAAACAGGGAAAACTAGTCAGGTAGATATTGCAGAAATGCAGGCATGGTATAGAGGTGGCTGTAATCAAGATGGTGGCAGTGGAGGTGGAGAGAGGGGTCCAGAATCTGAATATACTTTGAAGGTAGAGACAACAGAATTTGGATTTGGGGTGTGAAGGGAAACAGGGATCAAAGATGGCTCCAGGGCTTTTGGCTTGAGCAACTATAATATAAGGATGATGTTTCCTTCAACTGAAATGGGAGAGGGTACAGTTGAGCAAACTTGGGAGTGGGGAAGATCAGGAAGGCATGGCTAGGTTAAGCTTGAGGTGTCTTTTAAACATCTAAGTGGAGTTATTGTAGTGGCAATTGGGTATCAGGAGCGAAGAGTTTGGAAGAGAGTTCTGGTTTTAAAATATAAATTTGAGAGTCATAGGCATATATTCTCCACTTAGAATCATGAGATTGTTACAATCACCAAGGAAGAGAGTAGAACTAGAGAGAAGAACCAAGCCCTGGGGCACTCCAACTCTACTAGGCCTGGGAGAAGAAAAATGAACAAGGGACAGTAAAAAGGAACAAACAATAAAATAGGAAGAAAACAAAGGTGTGGTATCCTGGAAGCCAAGTAAATGTAGTATTCCCTAAGACCAAATAAAGGGAAGACTATGGAAGTGGTGGGGGAGAGATATCCTGGACTTGGGATGCAAGCCTGACTGAAATAACATGAGAGGAACAGGAAAGAAGAACTGGAAAGACCAATTATAGATAACACTTTCAAGGAGAAATGGGTAAGTAACTGATGGGAAAAGTGAAGTAGAGTTGTTTTTTCAAGACGGAAGAAATAACAGTATGTTTGTATGCCGATGAGAAAGATCCAATGAAGAAGGGAAAATTCTAATGGTGACGCGGGCAGAATTCCTGAAACAAGGACTAGAGCGAGTGGGAAGTAGTGTTCAGGTGAGGGACTGGCTTGCCAAAGGAATATATAACTGAAAGGTTTACAGTCTTCCCGAGGGTGTAGAGTCTGCATTGCTTACGGCAAGAAAGGAATTTTTAATTGGTATCAGGGAAGGAATTTCAGGAGATAGGGTGGCCTTAATCACCTGCCTCCCCAGAAGTCAGAGGTAATGACATCATTCAGATCAGGATGCCTTA